GTAATTTATATCTATAATTTCGAGAGTGCAATTCCAAGTTTATAGTGGAGTAACTATTGAAATTAATAGAATTAATTAATTAATTAAAGTGTTTAATTAATTATTAATTTTATTGGAGCTCAGGATTATAGGTCCATTAATCCCCGTGTCGTCCTAGTAATTCTACCAGATACAAAGGGCAAAATGAGAATTTTAGAATTACGGAATTCTAAAATTAAACACTCGAAAATAATTAATTGATAATTAATTATTATTTAAATAATGTGATTATTTCAATTTAAATTTGAACACATCTAGATTTATCCATTTAAACTTATTTGATAAGTTGTTCAATTTAGAATTCAAATTAATTTAAGTTTGACTTAAATTGGAATTTGAGTTGGAGTCAAAATTAGACTACAGGATAAAGGATGATTTTCTCTTTCTTCCCTATCTGTAAATTGGCGCCACACAGGGATGAGAATCCCCTACAATGGCCAGCAATAATGAATAAAGGAAAAGAGGAGATTTTGTTCCAAATTCAAATAGGAGATAATTAACAAGCTTTATCTTGGAGATAAAGATTGGATTCCTTCTAGAAGTTTGACTTCTATTCTATAAATAAGAGAATGATAGAAAATTGCGAGAGACAATTTTTGAAAACAATTTTTGCCCTAATTTTAGAGGGTGGCCGAAATTCTCATAGAGTGAGAGGAAAAAAATTTTCTCCAAAAATTCCACATCGTGCATGCGTTGGTGTTTGTGGAAATTCGAGTGTTTATTCTAATCCGTTTTGTCTCAGGTGTGCCCATAGACACGTTTTCGTGGATTCTAGGAATTGACATAGAAGACATTAGTTTTCTAAACACAAAGCTTTGGAGCAAGGATTGTTCGAGGTCAAAGAACTCAAGTTATCATCCTAATCGGCCGCCGGGTATTATTCGTAATTGAGTTCTTAATAAATGAATTAATGAGATTAATTTATTCGTGCATAAATTAATATAATCTATAGAGTATCTCAAAGGTTTTATGAAAAATTTTATTATACACGATCCGCTGCCCCACGCTTCTGCATCCGAATTCGATTCGGAGACCAACAATAATTTACTAAGTACCTTATCAATTATGCTATTTCACTCATTCTTTTTAATAGAATCATAATTCTATTTTTTATTTCCTTACAAATCTCACTTTCAAAACACCAATTCCTTGATATGATATTTTATTTCCTACACTTTTAAACGCTAGTTTGAACCACAATTTAAATCACATGATACAGGTTCAAAATTTTCAAGGCAAAAAAAAAAAAAAATTAAAACTACACAATTTGAACATGCGAACCAAACGAGCCCAAAGGGATACAAACTTGACATAAATTTAAAATTTAGAAATACATTTATTTCATGCTTGAGGGAGAAATATTTAATTTCATAAATACCTCTTGAATTTTACAACTTGTTTTAACATGTCCTCTAAATTTTAGAAAGGGTTCATTTCACTCCCTAAAGTATGAAAAGTGGTTTAAAACTTCTCTGAACTAATGTTTTTTTTCATAAATACCCGGACAAATTACATGTTTTCCCTCCAAGTATAGGCCTTGTCACAAAATGCTCCCTTAACTTTTTACTAGAGCTGCAAGTTTAGGTCAGGTTAAACGGGCTTGCCCGAGACCTACCACTATTGGTCTGGGCTTGACCCGATCCAAACATCATAGTTTTAAAGATTTTTTTAGAAATACCTTATAAAATTACGGGCCGGGCCGATCCTAAACTTTTTAGGCTTAGGGCTGAGCTAGGCAGACCTTCTCTCTTTTAGGGCCGGGCCGGGCCGGCTGGCCTAAACTTACACCTCCAATTCTTACTATTGTTAGTGTTATTGGCCGCCATTAATGAACTTTCAAGGTTTCATATGTCAAGTAAATTAAGAGAAGTTAGTGTGGTAATGAAAAATGACAAATTTTACTGTGTAATTGTACTTTTGTGTGATTAAACGACAAGGAACTAACAGGGTAATTGTGTGCTAAAAATGGTTAAACGACACTAAGTAATTGTGTGATACGTGTTATTTCTCTTAAAAACCTTAACATAAGGATTTTATTGTTAGTTTTTGCATTTTGTGTGACATTTATAGCTAAAAATATAGTTGAGGGGCAAAATTTGTAAGATTTGTTGAAGTTTGGGGAGAGAAAAAAACCTAAAACTAAAGTTCGGGAGGCATTTTGTAACAAGACTTATAGTTTAGGGGAAACATGTAATTTGTCCTAAATACGCCTTGAACTATTGATTTTGTCTCAACTTGCCCCCCGATCTTTTAAAAAGTTAGGGGGTAAGTTGACACAAAAGTAATAATTTAGGGGGCATGTTGACTTAAAATCAATAGTTTATAAGGCATTTATAAAAATATAAGTTGTGTCATGTCATCAATTCGTTAGTTTAAATAAATATAATGGGCATTTTGAACTGGGATACATACTTCATTGGATGAAATGAACTCTTTTCAAACCTTAAGAGGTATGTTGAGACAAGGTATAAAGTTCAAGAAGTATTTATGAAATTAATCCATAAATACATATATTTTGGTGGTAAACATTGATTAGAATACCTATAACCCACCGAACCATCAAATGTTCGTAAATTTAATTTTAAATATAAAATGTGATTGAACCCGCAACCCACCCAAATCCCATCTTGTTATTTTTTTTGTTATTTTTTTTTAATCTGTATGATTTGCGGTTAAAACCTATGTTGTATTGGTAAGATATTTTTTATACTTGTCCTCCCAGAAGATAACTTCTCTTAAAATAAAAGAGGGGTTTTGCAAATCAAAAGTTGAAAGTACTCAAGCACAAACAAATAAACAAGGATCAAAAAAAAAAAAAAAAAAAAAAAAAAAAAGGGGAAAAAAGCGAAACACTTGCATTACCATCCCTAAAAGTAACCAACGTTCATAGAAGAAAATGCACGGCAAAGTCAAAGTTTATTTTCTTTTCCATTTTTCTTTTGTTTTTGTTTTCACAAGCAACAGCAAAGTCAAGTTGATGTAACCTAAGACCTCATAATCCATAACTTGACAATTGTAAAAAAAACTGTACAAAGGAAATCCAGTAGACCTAGTCTGCCTTGCACGTAGCTTTATTATGCCCTGTTCCCTTGCACTTAGCACAAGTAACTATTCTTCTCGTCTTTTTTACCACTTCCTGACTCTCCGTTTCGCCCTCCTTTTTATTCTTGTGTTGGGACGGCGGGCGCAACGTTTGAGGAGGAAGAACACAGCTAGATTCTGAATCGGCTTTCTCATCGTTTGAAGGCTTAAAAATGTCCACTACAGGGTTGATGGATTCCGAATATGCAAAGCGGAAGCTATCGACGGTGAAGTATCTTGAACAGTAATCATATACGTTTCTGCCAGTGCAGCTAAAGACAGCAATGGCATGGCTGCAAGGAAGACCAGTTGGTTTCCATCGTTTACAAGTACAGCTCCTCTTATCAGTGTCCACAACATGCGTGGAATCACCTTGAACCTCAAAAAGGGTCTCCGATGAAAACAGTACTTTAAGACCATGCGCTTTGTTCCTTTGTTCTTGCAGTTTTCCCTCCTTTGACGGAACAAGTCTTGCAGACCACACACTCGAATCTGTTCTCCGAGAATTTATCAATTCACTTGTCTTGGATCTCAGCGCCTCAATCTTTTGTGTTATGGGTGACTCGCGCACTTCCTCTATCCAGTTAGCGTATGACTCTGCAACATTTACAGTAACATGGTTATAAGGCTCGCCTTTGAACAATGCACTTGTCCAATACTCTGGCTTAATCTGCATTAACCAGTCGTAGGCTTGAGAACAAACTCGCTTAATTTGCTCAGTGTGCATTTGAAAGAAGTCGACTCGGACTGCATGGGCAGCAGCCAGAAGATTTATGCGCAACGAACTCTTCCCGTCTCCATAGAATGGACCCTTTGAGTTTCTTTTGAGGTTCTCTGAAAGGTGGTAAATAGAGTAACCATGGTGAGCATTCTCAAATACCTCAAGCACTGACTTCTCTAAATCTTTCTCACTGTCAGAGACAAAAGTTATGGCTTGTGAAGTTGAAAAGGCAGACCTCAGTTGCTCCAAAAACCAATGCCAATTATCACAGTTCTCGGTATCTACTATAGCAAATGCAACAGGAAAAATACCGTCATCTCCATCCAATGCAGAAGCCGACAAGAGAATCTCATGGTACTTTGATTTCAGCGATGTAGCCTCAAGAAAAATAATGGGGCGACAACCCATCTGAAAACCATGTATTGACGCATGAAAGGACAAAAAAAGACGGTGAAATCTTTTGTCGTCAGTAGTGAAAAGCTTGATTAAGCTACCAGGATTTGCTTCTGCCATCTTTTCGCAAAGCCAAGGTAACTGATTATATGCCTCCTTGTACGAACCCTGCAGTTGAGCCCTGGCATCCCCAATGCCACGCCATACTTGAGTGTAGTTTAGCTCTACCCCAAAATCTCGGAGAATGCTCTTGGCGATTTCCTTTGGTTTGTGATGTGGGCTTCCTTGTAACCTATCTTTGATGATACTTACCACCCAATTCTTTGCTGGATGAGCAGCCTTCCAAGATTCCCCTCCACATGTATGTGTTTTGTTCATACTCTTTATCTTAAATGTTTGTGAAGATGAATCCCACGATGCATAAATCCTCCACGAACAGCCTTCGGCTACGCATCTGCCACTTGCACGATTTGTGTCATTCTTTTTCAGCCTGTACGTAAAATGATGTGCAACGGCATACTTCTGCAGTGCCTCACGAAATTCATAAACGCTTTTGAATTCCTGATCCACACCAGTAACAGCCTTTTTCCACAATGCCACTAATTTCTCAGGAGGAAGATCGTTAGGGCTACCTAGAAGGGAGTTACCATTGTAATTACCTTGTTCACCTTCCTGTTCATCTAGAACTATCACAGACTTGCGCTTTGAGACATTCTTTCTCCGTGGAGTAGACTTAGTTTTCTTCCCAACATTAGAGGTAGCAACAACAGGAGGACTGGCACCACTTTTGCTGGATGCAACACGTCTTCGTTTCTTAACAGTGTCGGCCGGGGTGGCATCCATATCAACTGTGACTGAGTCGTTAGCATTGGCATTGGGAGTAACGGCACCAGAACCAGTTGGATGGATAGTCGTAACAGAAGGATGCTCATAGTCATCATCATTGTCATCGCCAACATCATCGTCACGAGAAGGATGCTCATCATCATCAGAGTGATCAACAGCAGCAGGCACTGCACTTGGACGCATGGAAACTAAAGAAGCAGCAACAGCAGCAATGGGCATTACAGTTTCAGCTACTTTCAACCCACTTGTCCTGCAAGTAACGACAAATGTTATTCCACGTGTTTTACTAATGAAATTGCCTTAATCACCGGCGTGCACCAGTTAGGCCATTGCCATCATTTCATATATCAAAGAAAACGATAAAATGAGCCGTTTTGTTTTTCAGATTCCAAAACTACTTGGCCAATGATTTTCAACAAGCTAAGTAGCTAACAACTAATAGTTGGTCTCATCTCAATACGTAGAGAGTACTTAAAAGCTACAACAGCAGCATTACTCATGAATCAGGACGTGAACAAACAAAGGAAATAAAGTATACCTGCCACTGCCAGTTCCACGCAAGGGCAAGGCTTCTCGAACGAAACCTGCTTTTCCTTGGATGAAAACATCAGCAGTTATAGAATTTGAATGGAACTCATACATCCTCTTCAGATCTCTATCATTAGCCACGGTGATGAGAGTCCGCCTATTTCCAGGAAGAAAATATTTGATGGACAATGAATCATATTGTAAGTTCCACATTTCGGCTAGTTTCAGCTTCAGATCATCAAACAGTGTTTCGGGAGTGATGTCTACCGCATGTGCCTCCCCACCATTATATGACAAAGTTCCATCGTCATTTGTGACAAATTCACCAAGAGACTGACAGATTAAGATGAGCTTTGGCTTCACCATTGCAAGAAAACTAAACAAATTTCAAGTAAAAAGTTAAAAAGTTAGAAAATACGTATACTATACATCCAAACAACCATCTCCGAAGCTATTTAAAGATTAGAATAACAATTTCATCTACTCTAAGACCACTTTTATTGTTTAGAAATGCATTAGTTTCTGGGATTCATACAATCATTTTAACAGCACTGAATCTGTTCACTGTCTCTCACAGAATGTATATGCTCAAAAGTGATACCATGGCATGGAAAAGTGGCTCATCACATATGAAGTATTTGATAACTCGGATATTAACTTTTCTAGAAAAAGAATCCATGTATCAGTTTATGTATTCCTATTGAAAGCAAACAAATTACTATTAAAATTCCAGCATCCCATTTCAATTAATTCTCGATTAGTTCGTGGGTTAGTGAGAAAAATTTTGTATGCCCAGAACTCAAGCAGAATTGAATAACAACAAAACTAAAACTTTCTCTGAAACAGGACAAATAGGAATGAACTTAAAAAAAAAAGGAGAGTAAGCTTTCTTCCTTTTGCACAAATATGCAGGAAATTTTCAATTTCATCTTAGTCCGTAAAGCATAATAAAAATTCCCACTTTCACCCAGCAAAAAAAAAAAAAAACATAAGATTGCACAATCCAATGAGAAATCTATATTCCTCTACCACACCCCACCCCCCCAAGTGTCAGCTGGAAACATACAACTAACAAGCAACAAAGTCAACAAATGCAAGTTCTATGATAATGCAGTCAGAAAATCAATGCAAGTAACACTCTTT